ATCTATTAGGTAATAAATGCGTAAAACGTATTTATTGTTTCTTTTTTAATTTAAATCTGATTAGAAGTTTGACTCATCTCAGCATTTTTATTTTTTGCTTAAATGATTCCAATTCGTATGTAAATATATATATATATATATATATATATATATATATATATATATATATATATATATATATATATATATATATATATATATATATATATATATATATATATATATATATATATATAGCAAACATATTGTTTTATAGTCTAAAAATATAATTTTTATAATTGCCCTTATTTTGTCTTATCACCGAATAACCTTTAACACATGATTTTAAAATATTAATATTTTAAAAAATATTCTTGGGAGTGGAACAAGGTTTCTTAAATGATCATAAAAACCATTTTTTTTTTTAGTTAATCCAACTTCATTCTTAAATGAAAGAAAAATTCTTTCGAGTTGTTTTCATTACCAAAGCATTTAAACATTTTAATAGAAAGACTATTTCTAAAAATCTTTTTAAAAATCTTATATGTTACTGAATTATTTATTTCATAAAGTTCAACTCTTTCGTAGCCGTTCTTTTCAAGAGTTGAAGAAGTTCAAGAATGCTAAAGCAAACGTAAAAAAATCAAAAAAGAAATTTTTAGATAAAAATTACTTTTTACATTAATTTTTCTTTCAAAATTTAAACTTTGTATTCGGATAAAAAAAAATAATTTTCGTGTACTAAAGTTTTAATGAAAATTTGTTACTTCAAAAATTTCCTTTTAAAACAAAAGTAAGAAAGGTTGGGTTGAAGTACATGTCATGTACTTGTTGAAGTACATAGCCACGTACTTCTAAGCAACCGCATTATTTTCTGAATAACTTCTAGAAAAAAAACACACTTTGGCTATATATCACATTATAAAACTCATTCAACCCTTTTTAATCCTTTTCTCGCCTTTACAGGCGCAGAGGTTTTTATCATTTTTATCAAGTAAAAAAGTCATTTAAAAAGTCCTTATGGTCTTTTCAAAGAGCACTGTAGAAGAACTGCTCAAATAAAAAGACCCAAGTTATGTTGCTTATTTTGGCAAAATAACGGGAAAACGTCTTCGTTCAGCATATCCGAGGTGGAACTACTTAAGTCAGCTAGCAGCCGTAGCGCAGTAATTACTTTGAAAATAAAAATTCTATTCGATTTAGTTTTCCTGGAGTACCTTTTAAAGTACTAAACAAAAAAAAAAAAGAACAGTTAACCGAACTTTTTTGAAAAAAGTATATAATAATTAGGTGTGTCAAGGTTGCATTAAATTTAAGCCAAGAAAAAGGAAAAAATAGTAAATCCAAAAATGCTTTATGACGGTTTTGTTTTCTTTTTTAACGTTTGTCTTAAAAAATTTATCGATAAAAATAATTATTGCATTTTGCTTAACATTTTTTAAATTAATGACAACTCAATATATTACACTGTAGAGATTACATAGAAGTTTTAATACTAAGTTTGAACTTTTTTTAAAATTTTTCTTAAATATAGTGCGCTTGTATTTTCGTGTGGATTTAAAAACATTATACAAAATAAAAATTCTGTTTTTTTAATAAAAATTAAAATACAGATAAACATATTAAACTACCGAATCAAATCATGGGTTTTTATCAAAGTTACTTTTTTATGATCGTCGTAAACCTTTTTACGACAACCGTCGTGTACATTTTTTAATATCAGAACATTTGTATAAGGTGTACAATTGTAATCTACAGACAAAAAAACAAAAAAAAAAACAAGTGCTGTAAATCATTTACACTGCTTATGCAATTTAGGAAGATTTTACCTATACATTAGTGCTTTAACCGCTGCACCACAGCGTACCACTGTCCGACGGATCAAAAAAAATATTTATAGTTTGAACTGTAGTTGAAGTGTTCAATGATGTTATTAGACCCGTGATGAAACAATTTACGTTGACGTTAATCGTTGATGTAAACAAACCAACTGTTCAGTCTTTGCGACTTACTGAGTAACTGAGACTTACTAAGTCTTGATAATGCAAATATTTCTCGATAAAGTAAAGATTGGGCAATATAGCCAGTTGTGATTTTTTGGGATTTCTAAACTTTTTACGAGAATATCTTGGTACAACTTATTTAAATGTGTTTCAACTCTATAATCTGGTTGTTAATATTTAAAGAATTTTGTCTATGCGTTTTAATTTTTCCTATATTTTTTTCACGATGTTGTTCCGACTGATTTTTTTTACAAAATTACACACTCAGAAATTGTACAATAATGATATCCTTTCATTTAAGCTCTTCTAAATTCAATATTTTTTCCTTAACGAAATTGCGATTGATATGGATTTTATTAAGTTTCTTAAACATATGTTTCTCAAGTCAAATTAATACGATTGGTCAGAATCGTATTAATTTAGGTCAGAATACGATAGGTCAGAATCAAATTAATACGATTGGTCAGAATCTAGGATATATAGATGAAAAAAGTTCTCTTTTAAATCTCAAAAGAATAAATTTTTAGTGATCATCCAAAAATCTATATAAAAATATTTACTGAAGATTAAAAAAGAAAAATTGTATCTACAGTAAGCATGATCATTTCCTTTTCCTATAATATTATTATAAACGGATTAATTCGTAATTTAATGGAGTCAAAATGTATCCTTTCTATAAACAAATTTAGTGGTATCTCCTTCAAAAGTGCTAAATGATGGTGTCATCTGCACTTGCATTATATTTTAACTCTTTAATTTCAACACTTGTTCCAAAAATTGTAAATAATATTAAAAAAAAAAAATTTAACATAAAAAGAAAATTGATTATGTTGAAAAGCTCTGTGAGTCTCTTATCATTAAAGACTTTTTAAGTTAAAATTCTCATTATGTATATATATATATATATATATATATATATATATATATATATATATATATATATATATATATATATATATATATATATATATATATATATATATATATATATATATATATATATATATATATATATATACTATTCTAAACTAAATCAATATTTATCAATGAATTTTAAAAGTCACACAAAAATATTTTAGTGTTCAAAAATTATGACTATAAAAAGTTTGAACCCCCTTCAATTTGAGGGGGTTGCAATTTTTATGAAGCCATAATTGTTGAACACTAAGAGGTTATTGTGAGAGTTTTAAAATTTATCGATAAATATAAATTAGGTTGAGAATAGTAAAAAAAGTATTTTATAACTTTTTTTTAATTTGTTGCTCTCACGTTTGGAGTAGGTGTAGCTAAGATTTTAGGGTCTCATGCTCCAATCATCTTAATTTTTTACAAAGCATCTTTTCTTGATATAAATATAAACATAGAATATTTTCGAGTTTGCTCCATGTCTGGAAGTAAGGTATCTCAAACATTAAAAAATGCTGCATCCGCGCCTGATATATAGGATATATATATATATATATATATATATATATATATATATATATATATATATATATATATATATATATATATATATATATATATATATATATATATATATATATATATATATATATATATTTTAAATAAAACTGCATATTTTTTACAACTATAAGTTTCATGCTAAATGCAATCATAAGGTAAAAAATGTGATTTTTTCTCGCGGAAAAATAATTATGTACAAGAGAAAAATATTTCCAATTAAAATATACACATATAAATAAATAAATAAATGTGTATATATATGCAAATGTCTTTCAATTTTCAAAATCGTTCAAAAGTTATGACTATATATAGTTTGAATCCCCCCTCAATTTGAGCTGTTTATATCAGGCGCGTAGCAACTGGGGGATCAGCAGAGGCATTTGCTCCCGCCCCCCCCCCCCTCCAATAATTTTTTTAATAAATAAAACAAATTGACTGAAAAAATGTTTTAAAAAAAAAAAAGACCTTAAAATTATTTCGGGGTTCCTTAAGCACTTCCCCCCTCCCTTTTTATATAATTTTTGTTCCCTCGGGCCTATATATATATATATATATATATATATATATATATATATATATATATATATATATATATATATATATATATATATATATATATATATATATATATATATATATATATATATATATATATATATATATATATATATATATATATATATATATATATATAATATATATATATATATATACATATATATAAATTATTACTATATAACGTTTACAACCTCTCTAAAATAAGAAGTTTGCACGTTTTAGAAGGATATATGCTCTAAACAATTCACGATTTTTTGTTTGGGCGTCTGTTCCAGGCTCCATGGCTTTTTGCAAAGTTTTTATTCACAATAGTATGAAAACAAAGTTTTTGGTTTTCATAGCATTTTTGTTGCTTACTCATGTTGCTTTCTTCCAAGCATAGCAGTAAATTTTGAGCATGCAAACAAAGGAAGCTCAAATAAACAAAAAAAAATCTATTTAAAGTTAAAGCTTCTCTCATTTTGATGAGGTTGTAAACATATTATTAATTTTTGATTACTGCATAGTTTTTTAAAGATATTTCAAATAATAAATTATATTTAAAATGTAGAAATAAAATTTTTTGAAAACCGAATCCCCCTCCTTCCATTTTTGGTGGGCGAGACCTAGTTAAATTATACTACATAAATTATGAATTGATTATAAATTATACTAGTTAAATTACTAATTGAATTGATTATAAATTGTGCTATATTAAAACTATTTTCAATAGCTTATAAAAGATAGTTGGGAATTTTCTATTTAAATGAATACTATACAAGTAAATTCTGAAAGCAATTAAAAATATTTCACTGAGGATTATTGTTATCAATACAGCATGCCATGTTATGTTTATGTCACGAATGATGTATTTTTAAGATTCTATTGATCTTAAAAGTAAAGCTCTAATTAGTAAAATTCGTTTTAGTGGCGTATTTGAAAATTGTTATATATCAAAATTGCCTTGTAATCTAATTCAAAAAGTTATGACGTCTTTAAAACAATTATTCAGTATTATTCGCGTCAAAAACTTTCGCTGTAAAAGTCATGGAATCAACTCTGGGTCTTAGTAAATAGAATAGGCGCTTGTCGGGAAACATACAATTTACTTCAGAAATACTTTTGTAACCAAAAAATATTATGTTTTATTGGGAAAATAAAAACAAAGTGAAAAACTAAATAATAAGTTAAAACAACTTTTTACTCTTTTTTAACGGCTAGGATTTAATAAAAGTGGATAACGGGGGTAAGTAGCATATCATTATTTTCAATATTTTAAAATGCCTTTTCCATATTTATATTTAAGTAAAATCGATTCATTAATCAGGATTTTAAAATCAAAATAAACTAAATTATTAACGAGAAATTTTTTAAATTCTAAAGCTGATTAAAAAGTATATTTTAAAACAAACTAGAAACTATTTACTGTCATCAAATGAAATTAATTTTTCTTTTAAGCACATTTTTCAGTTTTGAAAATATGATATCAAACTACTTATTTTAAAATTTTTATTTCTCGACAACGGTCATATGCGTTCAATAGTCAAAATTTTATAAAAACTGTAGCATTTACTATCCAATTAAAACTGAAATGGAATATTAATTAAAAACTAGCGTTATCAATAAGTTATGACTGATTGAATGATTTTGAATTGGTTAACAGATTGCATTGAACTATATATTATTTTCTGAAGTTTATATGACCTGTAATAGTTTATATATATATATATACATATATCTATTTATGTTTGCTTTGAAAATACAGTGAAGCAGTAATGGAAAGTTGGGGATAATCGTTATAAGAAAAAGTTAAATTTTTTGTTATATATATATATATATATATATATATTTGTTGTCATTTAATGTATATCAAATCAAAAAAAATCTTTTTAAATTTTTGGAACGTTGTTTCTCAGTCACCCACTGTATTACTGAGCTTTTTTGGTATTCTATTTTACTAATATTATTTAATTATGGTTATTTTTTCTATTTAGCTGATAATAATTTTATAATTGTATATTACTTAATGATTTATTGTTATTATAAAATTTTGCAAAAGTTTTCTGTGCCTACTCTTTGTAGATACGCTAAGTAAAAAAAAAAAAAATTTTTAAAAGTGTATAAAAAAAATTAATACTCATTAAATATATTAAGTTTAAAAAAATATTAAATCGCAAAACGTTTAAACATCATAAACTTTAATTAGAAATTTAAATCTAGAAAATGTTATTTTGTTTAGCGGAAACTAGCCAATCGGAAAAATACTTGCAAATTAAGATAAAGCATTTTTTCTGAAATATTTTTATCACAATAGGCAGTTTTCTTGAAATTTATGCTGAATTGGTTGGTTTAAAAACAATATCCGAATTGTTTAGATGTACGCCGAACTTGCAAAAGTATTTTCGAATAGCATCGCGCGTTAATTTCAACGACATGTTAATTTCAATTTTACGGAAATCTATCGTAGCGAAAATAAAGATTTTATATTTTGGAAAAAAAAACTTGTCAATTAAAAAGTTATTTACACAAACATTTGCAGCAAAAATGCAGTTTCTGATTTTAATCCTTTCATTGGTTTCTTTTTAATACTGGTTTTTGATAGAGTTACCAGGGTGCTGTTCTTTATTGAGTTCTAACATTCTTTATTCCTTCCTAATTCATTTTTAATTAATGCATTTTTTGGAGAGTTACACAAAATAAAACTAAATTTTATTGGTCAATCTTAAGTAGGAATTACAGAATTTATGCATTTTGTCAGGTATATGATGAACAGCTATTATTATCAACAATAATTGAGTTTTGCGGATATGATTAAGTTGCTATGCGAATAAAATGAAACATATTAATGAATATATATTTACACAAGTAACCAGCTTATCTGTTTCGATTATTTAACTTTGATTTTTAATATAATAAATTTAATATTAAAGGTTGGTCGTTATTATTTTCAACAAATTTGCTTTAAGTGTTTAAAATTATTTTTCATTATTAGAGCATTAATTTATTTACTTTTAGCAAAAGCGTAATGTAAAAACAATATGAGACAGAAAACGTCACCTTTAAACCACAGTGTTTCACGCGTTACTACAATGCTTCCGTTTAAAAGTCAAAGACATTTACTGACATCGTACTCAAATTTATCCGAGGAAAGAGAAAGAGCTCAAAACAGTAAGTAATTCTTCAATTCTAAATGTTTCACTTTTTTTTTTTTTTACTAACGACTTAACGAAAACATTTGACAAATTGCTGATTTAACTTAAAACGTCATTTGACTTAAGAATGTCATCTAAGAATATCATTCGATTAGATCAGTTAAGATGATAAAAACGGAGGTAAAAGCGAATCCCCTCTCAGCCCCATTGGAAAAAAAATTAGCTAAAGAAAACAAAAGAATATAAGCATAGAAATCGAAGCATCAAGAAAACCGAGCACACGACTACCTATTACTTTCAATAGCTTATTTGTATTTGGTAAAATAAAACAGTTTATGCAGTTTAAGCAGTTAATTCTTTTGAGGTATTAGTAAAATCAGCTAGTTTTTAAGTCTTTCTCATGAATACGTAAACGCCTAAAACTCTCTTTTTTTTATGAACCTTTTGAGGTATTATACATATAGAACCTTTTGAGGTATTATGAATATAGAACCTTTTGAGGTATTATGAATATAGAACCTTTTGAGGTATTAGAAATATCAGTTAGTTTTTAATTCTTTCTCATGAAAACGGAAACGATTAAAACTCTCACTTTTTATGAAAACAGAAGCTTTTGAGGCATTAGTAAAATCAGTAATAAATAAAGTATATAATGTAATACCATAATTCTTTCAGTGTAAAAACAGGCACGTGTAGAAACGCATGAACAAGTTTAGAATAGATTATTCACCCTGATAAATTTAGCATTAGCGTGGTGGATAATAAGCGGTATTTTTAAAACTGTTTAATCTAAACACGGCCGTACGTGGAATGTATGTTTTTTTATTAATTCCATAAAGTATACTTACATAAACAGAGCAAACATGTTTTTTTTTTTTAATTTTTACTTAAAGCAAAGTTTTTCAAAATTTTCCTAAATTTAGTTAAATTCTTTTAAGTGATTTTTTTTTTAAATAAAAAAAGTTTTTTTTTTTTCATTGAAATTAATTACAATCAAAATGTTGTTTCATAAAGAATATCATTAAAACGAAAATGAAACGTTTGTGCGTCCTTTAAATTCGATCAGAAAATCTTTGAGTATAATTTTGTTGTTATTTTAAAATTATTTATAATGATTGAAATTATTATTGAAAATTAAAAAAAATTAATATAAGTTTTTTCCCCTCCTCCTTCCCTCGTCAGTAACTATTTATCTTTTAAATAGAATTAACATAAAAACGTATTTCACGCGAAAAAAAAAGATAATTTTTAATTTAGTTAGAAAAGATTTTGGGGCTTTGCAATTATTAATTGTTTAAAAATTCGTTGTATTTCATTAAATATTTTATAATTTGTTATGTTTAATCAAATATAATAAATAAGACTTATTAAATAGCTTTATAATTTTGTATCGCTAAATATTGTTTAAAAATATTATTACTATAAATATTAGGGTAATTCTAAAAACAAAGTTTTTTTGAAAAAGTCTACGGGCACACCCTATTGTGTCCCTAATATTGTCAAAAAAAAAAAAGTTTTTGACAATATTAGGGAACCAAATAAATGTCATGTTGGGTCTCAAACGAAGTAAAATTATATAAAAATTTTAAAAATAATCATTACTTATTAAAAAAAACATCGGAAAAACCTTGTTGAATCCCCATTTCTCGTTTTTAGTTAAAAAACGTCATTTTCTGTTTACAAAAGTTTAAAAAAATAATTTACTTTTAAAAGATTTATATATTTAATATTATAATATATAACCCTTACATACAAATTATTATACAAGGCCGACGATATATATATATATATATATATATATATATATATATATATATATATATATATATATATATATATATATATATATATATATATATAATGAAAAATAGTCAGTACGCATTATTAGTTTTGATCCAGTTATACAACATTTCAATTCAGTGAAGAATTTTTCAAAAGAACTTTACATATTTCATTTAACAGCCTTTGCATCCGATTGCAAGCACCATACATCCGACTTTAAGTACCAATTTTAGTCGTTAAGAGAAATTTGTCAATGTTTTTTGTTAAAATGACTGTCTAAAATCTTGTGTTCAATATTTTCAACACAATTATATCAAAGAAATTTTACTAGATTTTAGAAAAAGTTCTTAGGTGTTTGTTTTAAGCTGGATTGCACACCAAAAAATTATTGGTATAAAGCTTAAAGCTAGATTTTTTTTTAAAACTAAATAAGATTATAATTCATTCTTCTTTTATTTAGATTTGTTTAAATTTCGTTTTCAAGACGTGAAAAAAAAAATACTTAATCGTATATAGTGAACTGTAAATTTTAAATTTTAAATTTTTTTTAAATAACTACTTATTGTAAATAAGTATCTATTGTCTATTGAAACTACCTATTGTCTGTTGAAAAATCAATGAAAAATTACGAATCTTACATCTGTATTATAAGTTATTAATAATGTTCGCGATAAACTAAAAATGTAACACTCGTGCCCTACTCTAACTAAAAATTAAGTCAATTTTTTGTCAATTTAAGATTAATTTTAGATTAATAATTTTTTTATTAATTTATAGATTGCATTGACAGAGTATCATTTGATGAGCTATCAAGAAAGGTAGATTGGTTGGTCGAAGAAGTACATTATTTGCGACAAATAATTGGAACGTATGAAAAGCAAAGGCGCAACAAAAGTTATAATAACGATGATCAGCCTTCCAAATCAGACAGACAACATGAGTTTGCAGGTGTTTCAACGCCACACTACGGGCGCATCTATCGGCCAGATATCAATCGATGCAATTCAAGAAGTAGCTACTACGATCGCGAATCCGAATCAAGTCCTTATAACCAACCTCGAAAAAATAGTTTCAATTTGTCAAATACAGAACAAGAAGCAATTAGAGAAAAGAGAAATGATATAGAACATAAAGGAGACACTAATGATTTTGCATCTAAAATGCCTCATTATTCAAATTTATACAGAGAAAAACGTCCATCCAGCGAATTTTCAGATTCTCCTCGTAGAAGAGAAAGTGATAACGAAGTAAGTCAAAACATTGTACCGATGCAAGAAGCAAGATTACAAACGCTATTCTCTACAACGAATAGTATTAATATAGCTGAAACTATTATGTTGTGGCAGCATGGTTTGAATGACATACCTCCTGTTATAAAATGGTCTACTGAATTAAAAAAAATGTATCGTGAAAAAATAAAAGATTGGTTCAGAGTATTTCATTTATTTCAGACGTTATGCAACGGAAACATTGGATTGTTTATTTCACGATATACAAATTCGTTAGGTCACATGATGAGCGTTTCACAAGTTGCCTCCATGTGTCCAAATATAGATGCGGCTTTTGAAAGTTTTTTGAATATGAAAAGTCCCGCGTCTGAATTTTTTCCATCGTTTCCTACACAAGAAGAGATTTCGGAAAAAGCGGACAAAATACACGTTTTGCCACGCAAAATAAACGGCAGAAAAGTTTCAGCGAAAGACGTAATTGAACTATGGGAAAACGGCATTGGGGATATACCTCCAATTAAAACGTGGAGTAAAACTCAAAAGTTTAAACAACAAAGCAAAATTTCTCGATGGAAAAAAATAGTTGACATTTTCAAATATCAATGTCACAGAGATATGAAAAAGTTTGAAGAGATATATACTGACAGCCACGGGTGCTTGCTGCCTGTAGCTGCCATAACTACAAAATTTGAAACTATATATGGCGACGAATTAAACATAACAAGCAAGCTGATGACTGTTACAACAAACGACGATGACCGCCATCATGATAATAATATAAAGCTACCAAGACATGAAAGTGAAGGTTTTCGAAAAAGAAAACACGAAGACAGCCAAACATCAAATGAAATTTCTTATGATGATTCCATTTTTGACAATCAATCGCCGCCATTCTCAACACAGAGTATTGAACAAATTTCGAAACCAAAAAATGAAGATAGTTGTATCGATTACAAAATGCAAGGTTTCAAGTCGTTTACAGCTACAAAACAAAATCCAACAGGATATCTTATTACTGAAAACATGGATGAAATAAGACGGCATTCTTCTAGCTCATCTGTTTCTTCAAGGTGCGACATGCTTGATCGACAATTTAGATATGATTCAAGTCGTAGTAACTCTTTCGAAAAAGATTCTTTCAGAAAACAAAGCGACAGTGACGCACAATCAAACCAGACAACTATATTGGATACAAAAGAAACTGCAAGCCAAAACAATGAAAACCCAATAGTTCACGTTGTAAGCCCTTCCGTTATAATAAAGGAGGAAGAAGAAAGTTCGGACGAAGTAGAGATTATTGACAGCCGATTCTTAGGGAACTATGATAAAAAAACCGCAGAGTTTTCTATTACTTTTGATAATCAATCGTCTCCTAGCAACTCTGATAGTGAAACTAAAGAATTCACTCTTGATATGAGCCCCGAACCTATTATCCCAGAAAATATAAGTGTCCTAGAAGCAATAGAATTATGGAAAAATGGATCAGCCAACATTAAACCGATTAAAGACTGGTCAAGTAGTAAAAAAGCTCGTAATAAATTAGCACAAAAAATTGAGGATATTTTTTATATATTTCAAAACGTATTCAAATCAGACTACGCAACCTTCAAAATTATGTGCACTGAAAATAACACCTTATTAACAATTGATGAATCACTTGCAAAGTTTAGTAAACCTTTAAAAGAACGAACTAATGAAATGGACCTTTGTAAACCAACTGCAAACTCGATGACTTTTGACTTTTCCCATCATAAAACCGTATCGGCAAATAGCGATGTACTTTACTTGCTACCGCGTAAAATAAATGGAAAGAAAGTTAACGCACGCGATGTCCTTCAGCTATGGTACTACGGTTTAAACAAAATACCACCTGTTAAAAATTGGAGTGCTCAGCAAAAATCAGTGCAACAAAGTAAAATATCACGCTGGAAAAAAATAGTTGATTTATACGAAAGGGATTATAAAGGAGATTGGGATTTGTTTGAAAAAACTTATTCAAACGGAAACGGTCAACTTATTCCTATTACCGCTATCATCGCTAAGCGGGAAGAAGAACTTTTAAGAAATTCTAGCGATGGATCTATGGTGATACAATATAAATCTTATTCTTCACAACCATATGATACACTTACCTCAGTATAAGAACTGACCACGATAGCAGTATACTCATTTATTTTCAAGTTTAATGAACCTAAATTTACGTAACCATCAAAAAAATCTGTGCTATTTTTTGAGTAGTATATTTTTGACTTTTTTCGATTAAAACTAACAAGAGCAGCTAATAATGAGCCAACAGGACAAATTAAACTAAACAAAAGAAAAACTTTATAAAACTAAAATGCAACTTGTTAAATAAGTTAAAGAAATTAATTTTTTACATTTAATTTATAAGCGTTATTTAATTTTTTATTACATGATAGACTAGAGCTTTTGACTCAAAAATTGTCCGAAAAGATTGATATTACTTACTCATGCGCACTATTGTTAGATATTAATTATTCTTTATAATCATAAAACACGTAAGTGTAACCACGGACGGATCCAGCAATATTTTGGTCTTTGAATCAGGCATGGCGCAAACTCCAAAGGTTTGTATGTTTATACTTATGTCAAATAAGAATTCTTTGCAAAAAAATGCGATGATTAGAGCCTGGGAACAAAAGATTCTACAAATTTTAGTTTTTGATTATACTTTATACAAAAACTGATAGTTCCTGATTAACAGCTCATGCTCTTGGCTTTAGAATGATGTGAACAATTTTTGTTAAAAAATCTTTAACGATATTTCTTTGATAATGGAGAATTCGTACAAACTTTTAAAGCTCTGTCAATTATTAGGATGAATGGGGTTACATATCTGCTGCGTTAAATGTTCTACTGGGTTGTACACTTGGTGTAGAACTGGAAATACATTTCCATTTGCAAGTACCTTGCAAAAAAAAACTTTTATTTCAAATTTTTATTGCGCCATTTTGGCGTAATAAAAATTGGTGGGTGATTGGGAAACATGGACTTCACATTTAAAATCAACCTTGGTATTGAGCACATATTTCTCTTCTTAAAATTTTTTATCAGTCAATTAGAATCTTTTATAGAATCTAAAACATTTTTTCTTCGTTTTACAGTTTTATCAGCCATTTAGAATAATTGCACGACTAAAATTTGACACTGTGTTTTAACAAAGTGCATGAAAACGTCAAAAAATATAACTCGGTGATTATAAAACATGATAAAAGAAACAAAAAACTGAGAAATAATTAGTTTATTCGGATAAATACTGTTAGTATACGGAATACAAACTGTAAATGCAGATAGCTTTATTAAGGAAAATTTTTTTTTTTTCCAAAATTTTATCAGAAAACGTTAGAAGTTTTCCTTATTCCATTCTAAACGAAAGTTTCAATATATTCCTACATACTTACCAACGCTATATATAAATAACATTAAAATTGAGCGATCTTTCACAAAAAAACTGCTTGGTATTTTAATAGATGAAAACTTACCCTGGAGAGATCATATTAAATACATTGGCAATAAAATCTCAAGAAATAGTGGTATTTTATATAAAACCCGTTAAATCTTAGACAAATCTACACTAACTCAGCTTTATTGATGAATGCAAATTTTATATTCATCAACAGTTACTTATCTTATGGCAATATTTGGAGTAGTACAAACAAATCTAAACTCATCAAGCAACAGAATCATGCAGCAAAAACTATTTACTTTCAAAATCACTTAACAAATGCTAAACCTCTTCTAAGAAGCATAAGGGCTCTTAAAAATGAAATGAAAAAATTGAAATAAACATACAACACAATTTATGTTCAAGCATCAGTTCAAAAAAACTCCAAAGTTTTTTGAAAATATTTTTCCCATTACATTAAACCGATACATTACTCGACCTACAGAGAGATTTGTCAAAAAATTATCAAAACAAACAATATTCTCCATTTCTTACTGCATTGATTTGCTAGAAATAAATTAAAAGCATGAAAATTCAAAACAATTTTCTCGTTTTTAATGAAAATTTAGCAAGATAGAAAGAAAAATTAAAAAATTCTTAATTACTTAAACACTTTATGCTCAATAGATGACTTTAAAGCTTGTATAGGTTAAATCAGATGTTATAAAAATCAATTGTTGACGTTTTTATTGCATTTTTCTACAGCAATAACAATATAAAACCAAGATAAAATCTCAGGATAAGTTTGTATTCGTCTAACTTGTTAGCCATCAAACAGTCCAGACATGTTCTGAGCAAATAAGAGTAAATATTTTAGTAACAGCCCCTCTAATGTTGACAAAGAAAACCCACCTTGTAAATGAAACGTTTGACTATATTGAAGTTAGTACACTAATTAAAGTCTTTTTGTGGTTTTTAAAATTGTATGACAGAAACATTGAAAGTCAAAGGGGAAAATTGCTACAAACAACCTCATATTGGAAAGAATTGACTAATCAAGGAATCAAGCCAATTTCTTTCTTTGTTGAACAAAGTGTACTTAGTAAGCCCCTTGAATTTTTCAAAAAATAAATAATATGTATTAATGATTTGCTAGACTATTTTTTATATACATGTCCGTTTTAGATATATAGATCTTAAAGTGAGAATTTCCCATGGCTGCTTATTTTGGGCCTATTGCAGGGCTGACAATGCAATTTTCGAAGTCGGGCTGAGCACACTCCCTGATTACTACATAACCACGATTTTGAAAAAAGCTGTCAGGGAAATTCCACGCTCAAGTGAGTTATTTCAATAAAATGAATAAATAAATTCAAACAAAAACAAAGTAATCGTTGGGTTGCCATTAGTTTAAAAATTTTAAATTTTGATTAATAGTGTTATTTGTCTAATTTTTTAAATTTTGAATGTCAAATTTTAAGTCATACGTCATACTTTCTATATAAATGGTAGCTAAACTACATTTTGATAAAAGCGTAGAATTGTCCCCGCAAGTAACGATAACTAATTTGATTTAAGATATATAAATAGATAGCTAAAACAATCTTTTGAATAATTTTACACAGAATAATAACTACTCAAATTAATTTAAGTTTATTTAGGTCAAATATTTGGTTTGAAATATTCAACTAGAAAACAACAGGTTTAATGCAATGATTTTTTTGCGTCCTGTAAGTAAGCACATAATCAATTATAATTCTTAAACTTATGATAATTGAACAAAATTTCAATATGGAGAAAAACAAATAAATAAATTTGGGATGATTCATAAATATATAAACATCTAATCTGTTGAAATAAAATTTGTATATCTAAAAATGTGACATTATAAAAATCAAAATGTCCCGTAAGTAACGGTGGAATCCTTGAAAAAAAAGATAAAAGCACGCGTACCCTGCCCCCGACCCACCCTTTTTCGTACTTTGGAACGGAGCAATAATATAAGACTTGATTAATATGAAAGAATCAATTAATATAAGGCTCGATTAATGTAAAAATCTCGATTAAACTAGATCGATATCTACTGTTATATCTATTACTACATAGCAAAAATAATTTATAAAACGAATCAACAATTACACATTACAAAGTAAATTATTTTAAAAACTAAATGCAACGAATTAAAAGTTTGTAAACGTAATGAAGAAATAAAAACGAAAACAATAGAAAAGTAGGATTGAAATAAAATATCGAATTTTCAAAATATTATTGAATGAACGTTTAAAAATTATTTGTGCCACAGAAACCTGGAGCAAAATTGGTAAAATAACTCAAGTTTTGAATTAACTAACTGCGTAATAGTTCATTAACTACGTAAAATTTTTACTGAGGAAGTGTGAGTATTCATATCTAGAATCTTAATTTACGTAACTCATTCTATATAAAGAAAAAAAACCTTTCTTAACGTAAATAAAGCGTAGCGTAGTCATAGTAGTGAGTCATTAAATTAGTTAGCAAAACTCATAAAAACATAACTATTAATACTTTTTATAGAAAACTGATAAATTAAATAAGTTTAAATTTACTTTAATACATTCTTAACAAAATTTAATAAAATGCGGAAATATGTTTACACAGTTGGGTATTTGGGAACATTAACTTGCTAACATTAACTTATTAAACCACGCTTTAACATTATCCACGCATTAACCACGCTTCAAACAAAAATGTCAAATACTTTATAAATTTTTTTCTTTTTTCCTTTTGCAAAGATATTAAAAGTTAACAAAGTTAATTGAGATTTAAACTAAGTTGATAAATGGTTAATAAGAAAAAAACTTCTATCAAATGTAGATAATGTAAAACAAAACTTATCTTAATCCATAAATTAAATAAAACCGATAATATTCCTTCATTATCTTTATAATGAATAACGCTGTTATTTTAAGAAAGTCATGTGTCTTATCTAATGATAATTAAAATGAAAATTTTAAAAAATTTCCATTGAAACATCACATGAAATTCACGTGAACAGTCTTTCAAAAAAAACATTATTAAAAAAAAAAATGCAATAAAAACTACGACTTTTTCATAGTTACGTAACAAACTGTAATATCGTCAGGACGACAACCGAACAAAAATAACTAAAAATATTTTACAATTAAGTTAAAAAATATATTATACGAGAAAGTTCATGCCGCCATTTTATTATTAATATTTCTTACCAATGTTGTTTGTAAGACTATAAGTATCTGAATCAAGTGTTTTAACCGCTGCTCGTGGAGCAGATAAAACCACTTCTACTTGTGCTTGAATTCTTAAATATTTATAAGTAAAATTCTTAAATATTTATAAACTCAATCTATGCCAAGCATTAATTTTCACGTTTTAAGCAAATCTAGAAATATTTCCAAGATTAATGATCATAACTTTTTGTCATTCAAAATATAGTATAAAATTAAATATAGTATAAAATTAAATATAGTATAAAATTAAATATAGTATAAAATTAAATATAGTATAAAATTAAATATAGTATAAAATTAAATATAGTATAAAATTAAATATAGTATAAAATTAAATATAGTATAAAATTAAATATAGTATAAAATTAAATATAGTATAAAATTAAATATAGTATAAAATTAGGCTCACACTCATATCAGTATCATAGACGGTATTTATAAAAATATATTGCTGATTTTTGTTTATAAAAAAACCACTTTGAACAAGTTTAAAACGGAATTTAAACGATTTATTTATTTATGGAACTTAATAAATGTTTCTTTTTAATTAAAATTTAAAATAAAAACTTTTAGATTAAGTATTTTAGACTAATTAACTACTAAACAAAATTGTTTAACAAATATAAATCTTTATATTTATACTATAATTTATATTTACAACTTTTTCTCGTTTTTTATGACATTAAAAGAAACTCGCAATTTAAAAGAAACTATAAATTACCACAAATTAAAAGTTTTTTTTTTTTTGTCAAATATACGAAAAGTTCTATGAATGTTAAATATTTTGTACATGCACGTGCAATGCCGAGAAGTTTTACTATTG